TTAGTGTGAGGGACTGTAATGCAAGTTTTCTCCTAGGTCAAGTGCTTATTGAGCACCATGCAGGGTGCTCTTCTCTCACCTCAAATAGCAAGGGTCACTCTTACCCTAAACTGTGAGGCTGTGTCGCAGTGGGCTGTTAAACAGCTGCTGTACTCTAGCCCAGAAGGGTACTGGGAAGAGGGACGAAATGATCCCAGTGCCTCACTTCTGAGCTGATAGCTGACCTTTGTGGAGACGGAAGGTGCTTGTCGGTCTGTAAAAGTGCCTGCAGCTCTCAGGAGGAAAGAGGAATAAATCTGCCTCTGATCTTCTCTTGTTTGCCTTGGATTCATGTTGCTTCTGGCCAAGCTACTCTGCAGCAGGAAGGATGGACAGTGCCTTAGCTGCTCCAGATGCGGGAAGCAGAGCAGCGGAGAGTTCACACTGAGCTCATCTGTGGAAATGGCATCAGTGGGGACTCGGAGCGACTCTGTCCTTGGGCAGCCAGGGGGACCCCTGTGATTGGCCCTCCTGGCTCAGGTGCAGCTGGAGTTGCTTGCTGTTGTAGGGAGCCCACAGTGGGCAGTAGCCTCGAGGAGAAAAGATGTAGTGATGGGCTCTTGGAGGCTCACTGTGCATTTCCATACCTGGAGCTGGAGTTAGCCCAAGTAAACAAATGCCAAGCCACAGTCTCTGCTTGCTTCAGCCCTCTAGTTTATGGGACGTAAGGCTTGTTCACACACAAACCTTTTCAGCCCTTGTGAGGGGAGAGAACCCCAACATGCTGAAGGGAAAGGCTCTGCTCAGATCACAAGTGCCTTGCTGGCATCCCAGCACTCTCTGTAGAGTCACAGAGGGGATGAATTTGGACCCTTGTCCAGGCACCGTGATGCTACCGGCTACATGAGAAGTGTCTCCGTAGTCTTGTGATGTTGGGCCAGGGATCGTGTGTGCTGCTGTCAGTGGCAGCTGCTGCCTCAGATGGCCCCAAGGGCTCAGCAGGTGCCAGTTGCAATCCTTGTCTTGTCAGAGCCAATTAAAGCAGCCAAAGTGCTGTGTCACTGGCCAAATATGGGGGTCCCTGGCATGCCTCAGTGCAGCCCTCCCACAGAGGAGAGAGGAGGTTCCAAGGTCCCTGTGAACAGAGCTTCTCCCTCTCCCTGCTGGGATATGACCAGGCTTCTGCACTCTGCCTCCATGAATACACAGGGCCAGAAACGCCCTGCTCAGGAGTCTATCCCACGCAGCATAGCTCCTCGGCTGCTGAAACACTGGTATAAGGCTGCTCTTTCACCCTTGCCAGGCAAAGTGGGATCCAGACCAAAGTGAATCACTGTGCAGCTATTTTCTACTTCTCAGGGCCCCTGCCAGCAATGAGGATCAGAGTCAAATTAAGAGCAGCCCTGCCTGCCAGCTTCATGAGAGCAAGTGGGAGGATGGCTAAGCCTCCACCCCGTCCCTGACTGATAGGACCATCTAGCATCAGATGTTCTGTTTTTGCAGTGAAAAGTGCTGGAACCTAACTATTTTTGTATATCTCATACACAGGACTTTTTTCTTCACACAAATTAAACCACAAAGACCTCTCTTGGATTCTGGTCCTTTCAAAGTCTATATGCAAGGACACTGAGAGGCTATATCATTTCTCCTTCCTACCCTCTCAGAAGGCTCTTGATGCAAGGACAAATGAAGAAAGAGTTTGGATCCAGGAGTGCTGTTTATTACCGTTAAGAATAAGAAGTTGTGAGTAAATATTCTCACTGTATCTTTTGTGATCCCACCAAGGTTTATTAGTCCTGGGTCCAACAGAATAAATCCATGTTAGAAAAAGCAACTGGCGCAAGGATTAGAACATATTAATTTTCTGGCTTCCAGGAAGGCAAATTGTCTTTAAATACAGCGAGTGAGGGGAAAAAGAAAATATATAGCAAGAATTTGAACAGAATATCTAGGGAGCTAGGGAAGCCGTGCATAGGAGAGTAGAAAATGGTTATAGGAAAGTGTGTGATGGGAAACCCCCCCCCCCCCCCCCCCCAGTGCAGATCTACCCACACTCACTGTACTGCTGAGGGATGCCCTTACTCATGAAGTAGGACCAGATAAGCTGCTGCCAGTAAGTATTTCAGACACTGTCAAAATAAAAATCACCTTTACAACAGGCTTTGTCTAAGTCCTTAATAGTAATTCCAGAGATAATCCTGGGCTAGTGACTTTCAATCACCTGAAGCAGCTGCTTTTAAGGGCAGGAACAGCCCAGTCCTTAACTGCTCCCCTGTGTACAAGCCTCTCTCTGCTCCTCAGTGCACACTGCGTCAGCCTCATGCACTGCACCAGATACATACTGCATCCCACTCGCAGCAGCACCCACCCGAGTTCTAAGTCCCACGAGGGCTGAGTTCCTGAGCACATATCCCTGTGGTGAGGGCAGAGACCTGTGTCTGTGTGTGGGCTCAGGCAAGGCCATAATTTCCTTAGTCCCCTGCCATAAAAGGATTCCTCAAACTCACAGACACTTCAGAGCAGCAGCTATAAAAGGCTTTTCTTTGTCTCTGATCTGGCATCTTCTGTGCTGTTAAGAAGGATCGATGGTCCCCTCGCTCACCGCAGGCCTCCTTTCACTAGGATAAACATCTTCACTGGATTTGGGATAGGGAGGATGGCCAACATATGACCTGCAAGCTGGGCAAAGGGTGCCTGGCTGAAGGAGTGCACATACCCACACAGTGCAGACATGGCACACGCTAGAGCATGAAATGCCATCTGGCCTTGCTCTGGCTCTGCAACCCAAGGGCTGTGGGTTGCTGAACCATTGGGGGCTGAAAACAGCGTGTGGCCAGGGCTGGAGCTGCACAGGGAGCAGATTCTAAGACAAAAGTGCCCAAAACAGTTCAGAGCTCTCTTGCCTTCATTTTTTATAGACAATGCCAGCTTGTTGTGTGCTTGCACCACACCTATCACAGTGTGGTCCCAGTCCCTCAGTGTCTGAGGTACCTTGACACTATTGCAATAGAAATGCACAGCATTAGTAGTCATTACACAGTTCTGTTCCTCCTCTGGCTTTTATTAGCCCTGTCTTTGCTCTCCAACAAGTTCATTCTCTATTGCTGGGCACTTGCAGGCTCGTCCTGTGCCAGTTGCACAGCTTGTTACCCAGACGATGTCCCTAAGTGCATGAAGACAGCTGCCCCGAGCAGTGATGCAGTGCGAGGGGCTGGCACTGCCTGGTGTCAGCCACTGGGCTGTCCATCTGCACCCTGGCAGGCTTTGCACAAAATAGCCTGATCGGTTTGCTGAGCAGGAGCACTGGAAGCCATGCTGTCTTTCATCCCTGCAGACACAGGCTGAGGAGGAAACGCAGAGTGGCAGCCAAATGCTCTCCAGTTCTGCCAGTGTTTTTGATGCCTTTCTGTTTCTCTGATGGAGCTCAAACCAGCAGCTCCAGTATTTGTGAAAAGGGGTGATGGGAACAGGCTCCCAGCCTTTTTTTTTTTCTTCTCCGCAAAGCAACAAAGCCCAAATTATCCCAGAAATCAAAACAGACACTGGCTCACTAAATCAACAGTGTCTGTGGCAAACCCGGAGACATAGAGTCTGCAACTTCCCAAGCAGGGACAGACTCCTGAGACCACCCAGTCTTTGCAGGACCCTAAGAACATGGTCCTGTTGGGACCAGGACTGAATCCCATCTGCCTGCATAAATCTGATCCTAAATTCTCCCCGGGGTGCTGTGGTGCAGGCTGAGCTGTGCAACTTCTCCAGCTACATGCTGAGGAGCAGTTTTGGAGCAAGACTCAGGCTCTGCAGCTCACCGTGCAGCTCATCCAGGATTCAGCTAAGGGAGCAGCTGTGCCCCATGATCCTTCCAAAGCAGAACCCTTCTCCTGCCACTTCTGGACAGGTACAAGCTTTGCTCTGCACTTGGGCAGATGATAAATGATGCTGTAAGCCTGGCTGAGAGCATGGGTACAGCTGGAGTAGGGGTCTAGGGCTGGTTCCTGAGATAGCCTGCCAGAAAGGTGACTTAAAACTTACCCACTTGTCAGCACATCCCATGAGGCATTCAGGCCTGCACAGAAGTGGAGCTGACTGCCAAATCAAAGCTGTGGAGCACAGTTTCTGCTCGAGGACTACATTGACATGGTATCTTTCAGTATTGAGTATCAGCTCTCTTAGAGCTGCCAGAGATCAGCTATATGTCATTCAGTCCAGGAATGACCAGCCACAGTCTGAAGGGCTCTCAACAGGGGTAGAGAGGTAAAATGCACATTAATGTTCTTGTTTGACAGGCTGAGGGGGTGAGCCTAAGAGCTGTATTGCAGGTCCTTAATGATGCAAGGTCCCTTGTGGGATTCTGTCGTTCTCAAAAGCACAAATCTCTACACTTTCATCTAGGTAGCTTTTAAAAAAATGGATTCCCAGTAATGTCCCTGAAGTTGCATATGCCTTTCTGCCTGCAGCAGAAGCAGCAGCACTAGAGCTCAGCTGAGAGTAGACCTGCAAGCCTACTCTCACCTTTGCTGGGGCATCACCTCCCTCCCAAGAAGATACGCTCTCTTTCCCTGGTGATGCCAGCCTGTGCCACACATTTTTCTGACATCCTGCTTGAGATGCAATGATGAACAGCAGGAACAGCACTGAGAGCTCCCACCCTGGTGTTTCTCCTTTTGTTTAGGAACATTTGAAGTCCCTCCTCCACCCTCTTTTGCATCACTGCTGGCATCAGCAGGATGGCGCTGGTGGGAAAGAGGGATAGCAGAGGGACATCCACTGTACGAACCATAAAGCAGAATTTTAGCCCCAGGGCTGAGGCCTGGAGGCATGCTGCTACCTTGCCCTCTCCTCCCTGGGTAGCAAGAGGTGAGCGCGGGCCCTGGGGGCACGGAGAGCCCAGGGCAAGCCCTCCGGTAGATGGCATGCACGGGCCTAGCAAAGCGTCACTGCAGCGATGGAGAGAAATCTGACACTGCCAGACACTCCCTTGGAATAGCCAGGGGCCAAGCAGGAACCAGGAAATACAAGCTCTCCCTGTCCAGAAAACAATTCTGCTTCATGGAGAAAGGAACGACATGGGCAATCTCTGCAGCTGCGGGCGACCGTGGTGAGTACAGCATCCGCCAGGTATGGGGATGGCAGACAAAGCTCCGGGCAGCCTGAGTGGAAGTTTGGGTGGACTTCGCAAGCTTTGCTTCCTTGTGCTGGCTTTGCCAGGGCTCCTGCCTGGCTCTCAGCCCTGCACCTTGCCAGCTCACACAGAAACTGAGAGCAAGCGAGCAGGGGCATTGGGTCACGGCTGTGCAGGTGCCGGGGCGGGGACGGGAGGCTGGGGCAGCCCCTGCTTGCCAAAGGCAGGATAGGGGGAGGCGAAGGGTCTTTGCTGCTCACATGTCTCAGGCCAGACGGGCTGTGGCACCTCCTGGGATGGGCAGCTTGGGTTCCTGCAGCCATGCCAGCAGCTGAGAATAGCTCAGTTCTAGGAAGGATCTAGTTAAAATCCCTGTCCTTGCCCCAGTGGTCTCTGGCCAGGTGCACACCGTGAGGTGTCCCTTTGGCATACTGCAGGGAGGGGCCCCTGGGGCAGTGCTGGCACTAAGGGCTTGTAGGTCAGCTACCCCATCCTGCTCTCAGCTCATCCAGCCCTTCTCCGTGCCTGTGTCTGTCTAGGCTTCATTTGCACTTGGGAAATCCTGGCCATGTTTTTCAGATGATGTTGCTTTTTCTCCCTGGGAGGGAGGATGACAGTTTAATCCCTCCTGGCTCATGTTGTGCCCTGGACCTCGTGCTTACAGAAAAAGGGCACAGTGGAGCATCATTCGGTGCCAAGTGGAAATATTTTCAGCTCTGAGAGTGGTACAGGGGGGAGAGCCATGAATGTCAGATGAAGCTCCGAGGACATTCTCTCCAACAGTGCATTTGTTAAAAGTATTAGAAATTCTTCAGCGCTTTTTAATAATTACCAGAGGCACAGCATCACCTAGCGGCTGGAGCAGAGGAGGAGGTTCAGGACACCGAGGTCCTTCCAACCTGATCCCTGAGCTGGAGGGCAGAGGAGTTTGTGATTTAGGAACTGCAGGTGGGAGGGGGAAGGCTGGTTCTTGACATGTCCCCCACCAAAAGTCACATTTACTACTTCCTCTACCCTGTGGCAGAGGGTAAATGAAGCATTCAGGGCATTGGCTTCATTACTGCAGTAGACAAGGGCCTGATCAGGGAATGCCTGGGGCAGAGGCTGGTTCCCCTGCGCAGAGCTGCAGTTGCCAGGCACACTACTGATGCTGGGTGGCGGGGAGAGCCGTGCCACAGCATGGACCAGCAAAGCCAGAGACTCCAGAGTACAAACACCATCATTACAGTGTATGCTGTGGTGGCACTTTCAGGTCCAGACAGTGCCAGGCCATGCACAAACACTTCTACCTCCAAAAGGAAGTATAAACCAGGATCTGAAGGTCACTTATCTATGCAGGGCCAGGCAGGAGAGCAGTTTTCTGCTCCATTTGGGGAGCAGCATGGTGGCAGGCTGGCTCCTCTGGGGCAATGTCAAATTCTGCTCCCCCAAGGTTACTGGACCAGGACTGCTGTGTCCCACTTCATTTTTTCCCATCTGCATGGAAAGTAAGAAGCTGGGATGGTATTTCTGCTAGTGCTGTCACTACTACCTTCTGGCAGATTCCTGCAGCAGAGGGCAAAGCTCTGGCCAAAGACCCTTTGGACCTCAGCACCCCTGTGGGACTCAAGTGCTAATATCTGACTATGCAGCGAGGAGAAAGCAGAGCTCTCTCCCCAGAAGCATCATTCCGTGTTCTGCACATGGAAACACATGGGTGAAGAAGGGCCTCAGGCTCCCAGGCTGACCCTGTGCTGTGTAGGCTATTCAAATGGGCTCCGAGCAAGAAGAGAGGAAGGCAAATGGGAATGTGCTGTTGGTAACGTGGGCTGGGGAGACACCTACAGTAGAGGACCACAACCAAGAGCAGACTGGTGCACTAAAGCCACACTGCAGAAGTTTGCATAATTCATAGCTTTGCCTTGGTGACAGGGAAAAAAATAGGTACTTAATTTTAGTTCAGGTGTTCAGACACCTATACTGCTTTTATTTCTGGATATTTGCTCAGCACCACAGCTGTGTCAGCAAAGAGTTGGGCTTCCTAAATAAAGCTGAGACTTACAAAAGGGCTCAGGAGAGGTAAGCACCCACCTTCTCCTGGACAGAAGATCCTTGTAATGATCACTACCAAAGCATGGGCCCTAAGGGAGACAGAGCAAAGAGCAAGAGACTGAGGGGGTTCCTGAAATCTTTAAAGAAAAGCCTTACAGCAAATTTATTCACAGAAGAAAGTTACTGATGAAGGACAGTGGGCCCTCAGGTCTGGGTACCTCTGCAAGTATGGCCCTGTGGAGGGCAGGCCCCAGGTATTCTCACCACTTGATTTAGTACTCAGGGCCTCCAGTGTGCATGGACAGCAAAGATGCCAAAATTCAGCACCCACTGTGAAGCAGGCTTGTGTAGGGCAGAAATCAGGTTGGCATTGACATGGGGAAAGGGGAAGAAGCAATATAGAAGCAGGGACATATGTGCTGTCATGCAGAATACAATGTGCTTCTAGCAGGCTGTGAGTTAGTTACAACATGTTTGACCTGGTTTTGAGAAGAGAGGAGAGGTTTGCCTTGCTCTTGTTTCCCTTGCCACATCCGTTCTAATTACCGCAGATCTGAGGCTGGGAGATGCCATCTCCTGCCTGGCTGTTATTAGCTTGCAGACAGACTCAGAATAGCTTCAGCCTACACACTGGCTGCTAATGCTCTCTTTACAAAGGAAGACAACCAAAACAAGCAAGAGCAGCTTGGAAAGCTGATACTGCAACCTACCTCCCAGGAAAGAGGATAGGGACCCTGCTGATTTTGCTTCAAATGGTGCTATTTTAATTACATTGCACAACATGCCTCAATGCTGTAAAGAAGCAAAGTGGTTTAGCACAAAAGCCTCGGCATGGAGGGCCCTGGAGACCCCACAAGCTCATAGAGACAGTGGAGAAGGGAGCTGCAAGAGCCAAGTGAGAACCACCGCAAGACAAAGTAATGCTGCCTTGAGCTAGGCCCTAATTCCTGGGGGTAGCCCCCCAGATTTTGTCTGCCAAGGACTGGAGGGCCACTGGTGCCTCTGTGGGGCAGCACACAGCAGAGACATGAGGAGCAGTGTTGGATCCTTTTGCAGAGGGACATGGCCACCCTGCCTTCCCCAAAGCTGCCTTTGACTTCCCAGGTCTAGCAAGTCTGGTTAATCATTACTGACCATTTTGAAGGTCTCCAAGTTCTTTGCCTGCATTCATGCTTTTTTTGTTTTGCCGTTAGAGTGCCAAAGGCATTACTGCACATGCTGTCCTGCTCACCCACCCACTGAAACTGCCTCTAAAAGCCAGCAAGGGCAGAGCTCTGCCTCAGGCACTGCATTGTTCCCGCCTGTGGCAGGACCGTCTGGCAAATGCATAAGCTGTGGGACATGTAACGCTTTTTGGGAACCATCTGGTAACTCTGTAGCCCCATTAAAAGCACTAGCTGCCCACTCTCAGCTGCTGCGTGTGCTGCAGCAGAGGCAGAGACCCGTGTGCGACGCTCAGCTGCATGCTGCATTGGTTGGCAGCCAGCACCAGATGGACATGAATACGCAAGGAGGAGCCATACAAGGGCTGGCACCTGCTCTCCTCCAGCCCTCCGAGCGTGATGCAACGATAACATTTCCTTCATGCAGCTGGCCCAGAACGTGGCACGTCTCTGCTCTGCTGGGCAGCCTGCGCACCCCTGCCAGCACCAGCCTTCAGGAGCTCAGCTCCTGGCTCTTGTTACAGCTGGAATGAATTTGGCTCCTGTTTATTCCATGGCTGGAACATAGCTGTATTTGGCTTGTCTCTCTCTGGTCACACAGGTACAGCTGAGATTAGGGTTTGGCTTGGCTTATATTAAGTGCATCTCTTGTTTTGTTTGGTTGTGTTTTAAGTGGAAAACTGAGAACAGGAAAACTGTCTGAAACATTAAATTCGCACAAGGTCTGTGCAGAGCTACTCCTTGGGCAAGGGGGCCAAAGCGCAGGGTACAGGGCTATCAGAGCATCTGGCCCTAAGAGAAGGGGTTTGTGCCAATTGAGATCATGCTCTGCACCCTGCATCTTTCATCATACAGCTGTGGAAATGTAGTTGCAAAACTACAGTGAAATCTGTCCTCATTCACTCTGATGCATATGCATATTGGACAGCCAGGCAGGGCTGAAAGGCAAGGAGACTTGGGAGTGTCTGTGGGGTATGGTAGGTGTGTCACAGAAGAAGGAAACACATCCCCACATCTCCCCTTTGGACCTTCTCCCTGCAGGAGTCGCTCAGGTTCTGGCTTGGCTCAACAGCTCTTCTCTGAGACACTTCTTGGGCCTTTCTCATTACCCACAGATGTGGTACCCTGGGGTGGTGCATTTGGGTTTGCATGTTATGAGAGCAGAGGCTGGGGCTTCTCAGGGCTGACATCTCTCTCTGATTTCAGGAATTGCCCTTCGCCTTTTAAAAGAAAGAAAGAAAAGCCAGGTAAGGATTTGTGAAAATGCTTTAGAGGACAAGAAGAGGTGGAGTGACTGAGCCCCTGGTTAGCAGACATTAGTCAGTGTTGACCGTGAATTGGATCCCCGAGGCTGATGTCCCCTCCCATACTCTTTTCTACCTAAACTTCCTCAAGAGAAGTTTGGTAGAAGCAAGAGGCAAGATTACTTTAAAACTTAAAGCGAGGGGTGTGATATGCCATGGGACTTGGCAAGGGGGAGGGAAGGGACTTCAACAGTGTCTTTAAAATACCAGAGTCTCACATCAAAACACATGTGAGTACTCTCAAGTGGCAGCATAGCAGAAGCTGCATCAAACTCCTGTAAGAGCTGCAAACATCCATCTGACATCAGTCCCCCAGAATAAAGTGCATTCCCTAAGTAGCCCAGTTGTATCCTGTGGCCTTTGGACCATGCTGGGAAAATATGTTTGCCAGGCAGCAAAGGAAATAACAAAGTTAAAACTGGATCTGACTTCTCCAAGGGCCTGACAAGGAAGCTCGTTGTGCTGTGTCTGTTCTCCTAGGTTCTGCCAAGAACACTGTGGTCCACAGCATGTTGTCATCCTGGGAAACCTTATTTTTTCCAAAGAAACAAGTCCAGGCTTTCTTCTTGGAGGCGGGCCTCAGAGACAGCATTAGGGTTGAGAGTGTCAGATGAGGTGGAAATTTGATTTGTGTCCAGTGGGGAGAGCCCATGGGCCAGATGCTGCATTTCTGCATTCAAAGGTGGAACAATAAACAGTTGCGTTAACCTGATCTGCTGGTGTTTCTTTTTCAGGAACTAATGTGAGACATGAGAGCCAACAGCATCAGCCTGGCAGGAAGGTAAACAGCTTCCCAGAGTTGTTTTCCTAACTGTATATTGAGAAGACAGAGCTGACCACCGCTTCCTAGGCTAGATGGGCTGGGAGGACATGGGGCAGCTTATTCAGAGCTGTGAATCATCTCATCCTGTATAGGCTTTAATGGCTGTGGGAGCAATGTGCATTGCTGCACAGTGATGCAGGCACATTTTTTTCCCCTAAAGTGCAGCAGAAGCAGTAGGATGAAATCCCTCTCTGAGCCTGAGGTGTCAGAGGGCTGGATGGTGCTGGGGGCAGTGTGCAGGGTGTCTCTGCCTGGTCTGGGGAAGGCATGTGTAGCAGCAGCCCAGGGAGCTGACCTTCCAGAGCTCTTTCTCCCCAAAGGCTCCAACATACGAAGATGTCCCGGAGTTTCCTGTCTATGCCACCGTGAGTAAACCCAAGAGTGTGAAGCAGGATGACAACATTCATTACGCAGACATCCAAGTGTTCACCAAGGTCCGGGAGCGCTCTGCAGCAGAGGTGAAGAACTTACAAATGCAGAATGCCACAGAGTATGCCACCCTCAACTTCCCCCGGCCCAGGCTGAAATATGACAGTAAGAATGGGACCCTGGTGTAAAAGGCTTCATGGCCCCCTCCTGCTTCAGCAGCAAAAGGATTTCACAGACTTAGAGATGCTGTAGATGCAAGTTAACCTCATGGACACATCGAGTCTCCCTGAGAAGGTACAGAGAGGCTGTGTCTTCCACCTGCATTTCTCTTCGGAGGACACAGACATATTTATTCTCACGTGATGAGTAGTTTCCTATCTGATTCTGCTGACAAAAAACACCTCTTCCCCTTGGAAGAGTTGTCTCTGAAGCTGGCAACCCATCTCCTCTCAGCACTGTGAGAAGACAGAGCTGCTCTTTGGCTGATGAAAGCTAAAACCACAGCTCAGAGCTGCAGTGAGAAAGTTCCTGCTGTGGCACAGGACCAGCTGAGTGCTGCTCTGCAGATGAATTTGAGAACATGGCATACAGGATTCAATACTGGGACAAGGGAGATGTTGCCACAGGATTTTATGTCAATGTTAAGAAAATTCTGCAGTGTGCAGAATGACATGTGGATGATACTGTGAAGAAATGGCATGAAACTTTTAACAGTATCTACTGCAATGTCTTCCTCCAACACCTGCCACTGTAACTGCAGTCATGCACTGTGTGCATCCCCTTTTCTCAAAAAGCTTCTATAACCATGCACAGCACACTAAAACCAAGGCCAGAAACGCAGAATTAACTGAGGGGTACAGAACAATTTCTTTCACTACAGGGCTGTACGGATATGCATCCTTACCCCAACGTGCACAGAAGTGAGTAGTGAGCTCTTGGCTCTGACTGGAAATGAAACAAGGAAAATTCGCAGTTTAACTGCGAGGCAGCCATTTAAAAGCCACTGCCTATATTTAGGGCAGTTATCCAGTCCTTAGAGTACAGCAGCTGTTCTGCATGCCTGAGATACTGAGAATGAATCCTGGTCAACTTTAGAAAGGGCTTTGGACTTTTCCTCCATTTTTTCTTATTTCGTACTGTCAGCCTTAGTTATAAAACCCAGTAACATAGAGCACACACCATGTGGTGTTTTCTGCTAACCCTCCCAGATACACCTTTGGGAATTTGTTTATGGATTTAAAATAGTGTTAGTAATGTAGTATAGCAATCATCCAAAAGGCTTCTGCCACTGGATTGAATTTGGCAGTTGCAGCATTGGCAGTTGAGCAGGGCTCCCAAGCAGTATCTTCAGGCTTGGCACATTCTGTTCCTAAACAATGGTCTGCATATCTAAATGCAGATCGTGGGACAACCTGTTTATTGCCAGTGTTTAAAAATGGACATCCTGGTACATTTTATAAACATACATAACTTTGCATATTATGGCTCAGCTAAATGTAAAAAGCATGAAGGAGTTCCTGCTCATTACAAAAAATAAAGCTGGTATGAGAAGTATTTGCTAGGATGGAAGTGTTTTGAGGACCAATCCTACAATTTTTCTACCTTTTTGCCCATGCTATCCAGTAGACCTCAGCAGGACCAGAGTAATGTTTGCAGGAGAAGGCCCCTTTTTTTATAATGGATACAGTATATTTTTCTACCTGAAAAGGGATTTTTTGCCCATGCTATCCAGCTGACCTCAGTGGGGCTATTGTAAGTCCGCAGTAGAAGGCCCTTCATTTATAATGGGTACAGGATTACGTTATTGGAAGGGCTGGTTCTTTTGAGTGCCAAGGATTCCTCTTTCTGCTCCTCCAAGTTCCTTTCTGTACTCCATGCCCAGCATGAAAACCTGTCCTTTGGACTGAGGAGGATTGAATGGGCACAGAATTTACTTACAAGAGCATGTCAGGGAGGCATGGGACACGCTAGCACTCAGTCCTGCTAGCCCAGCTGTCAGAAGGGCAGCCAGGGACACAGGTCCAGATCTAGGTCATGCTGGGCAGTTATGTAGCTCCTTGCACTGAATCGCTGGTACAAGAACTAGAAAGGGACGCTGGCTTCAGTTCTAGTCAAGCCCTCCGCATCATAGGAAGAAACTGGATTTTTTAGAAACATTATTAAATATAGACTGTAGTTCAGGAGATGGGAGGTTTTCTAGAAGGTGCAAACTCCAACAGGTCATTTTTAAGTGAAACAGCCTGTTACTGCAGTGGCATGCACAGCGTGTGGTACTGAAGTTTTTCCTCACCCAGCAGGAGAGCTGGGGCCAGGGACAGCAAGCTGCACAGACACTGCACAAGCTCTTGGGCCCAGAGTGGTGTAAATTTGCACATCCATCGAGTTAAACCAGTTTTGCTGTGAACATAAGTAGGACTGAGTTTGGCTCAGAGGAACTTGCTTTCACTTAGTCACACCACTTAGTTCTGTCGATCTGTGGATCAGCCCTTTTGTGTTCTGAATGAATGGGAGCTACAGCCGAAACTATCTTTCAGTGAGTGCCTCAAAGCCTGGAAGGGTAGTTTATCTCCTATTCCCTAAGGAGCTCTAGCTTCCATAAGTACTTCCAAAGTAGCTAGTACTTGGTGGTGTTTCTGCAAGTACAGCCTATCTTAGAGATAATCAAATGCTCTGCATAGGAACAGTAGTAGTACAGTAATTTTTCCTGTTTACCAGGCCTTGAATAGATAAAATGTGAAAGCCACGTGTTCTGCAATAAGGATTTTTCTAAAGGACTTGGTTTTGCACCGAGTATTAAAAGCTTCCAAGAGCGTATCTCCCATTTCCAGAGGTTGTTATGCTTAGGTGTTAAATGAGTGTTAATGTATCAAATGTTCCTAGAACATTAAAGATGTAATTTTTAGTTTTAACTAATGAATTTGCGCTTTTTGGGGAGGCCGTTGCCCGCCAGCCGCCCTGG